CTATTTATTAGCTTAAATATTAAATTGAAATTGAATAGCAATGTTTGAAAATAAATAAATGTAAGAAGACCAGTATTATTGAAATACTTATAAGCCTATATGCATATCTATAGACGTTTTAAATTAAACGCATTATTTTTAAGAGTTAGTTAGTTAGTTTAGTTTAGTTTTCCTTAGTTTCTCGTCTTTTACATTTTATTATTGTTATACTTTTAAACGGAGCAACACGAAGATAAAAGAGCATTTTTGAAGACATAGTATATAGCTGAAGCGTTTTATTTTTTTTTTTTAAACTATTTGAATTCGGATTCTATCACGTTTTCCACATCGAAACAACGATTATGTATAGGCTTATTCGTATGTCGGTAGATTAGGTACCAATAAACACAATAAGAGTATCTAGTTTTAAGAAATTGTCTCTCGTTTCGTTAGTAGTGTTAGTGATAAGAAATGGAAAGAACTTTTGGAGCAACCCCAGCTCGAGTCGTAAATCGACTGGCGCAATTGTTTGGGATCGTGTATAAGTGTAAGTAAAGCAACTGGAGATCGAGGCAGGAGCACAAGTAGGGGCAGTCTGAGACTCACAACTTGCCACATGCCACAGCTGTGGCAGCTTGTTTACAGGAATTTTACAACTATGCGACGGCGAGCGGCAGAAATCGACTCTACATATATAGGCAAGCGGGTCTTATGTAAGGGGATGTCGCAGATGGTAGAGGAAGAGGTAGGCTCTCTGTGATTGCAAGTCGCTGTATACAAAAAGTGACTATTAATAATAAACTTACATACGAGCGGGCAAATTAAAATGAAATTAAATCCAGAGAAATATGCATGGGCCTACAAGTGAAAGGCCATTGGCCAAGCCCCGAGAACGGCAAGGGAGCCCAAGCCCAAGCCTCAAGCCCAAAGCCACAGACTGACTGTCAGTAGGCCTGGAAGTCTGCGTTCCCGTCAGAATCAAAGTCACGTTTTGAGCTTGGTCTCGTCTGTGTGCCCAATAAAGAGTTAGCATCGGGTTCTTGGAACTGTGATTGCGGCGCGTCCTTGAAACTGGTTTCGAACCATAAACAAGCTGACTAGCGAGGCTTCTACTCTACGTTCAGCCATTAAAATTTTGCACTATTAATTAGAAGACGGCGGCGCACACACGAAATTTACGGCAATGGCCAATTAAATGCACATTACGGCGACATATTGTCGAGAGCCGTTCGCTGCTTAAAAGCCTCCATAAAACTCAGCAGGCAAGGAGTTCAAAGCGCCTGATAAACTGGCTAAACTTATGACCGCACAGTAGCCAAGATGCAAATTCCCAGCGCCAGCGCCAGCGGTTATGCTATGGGAATCGATGGATGCCAATTGAATGTTAGAGTGCATCAGCATCCACAAAAGCAGTTAGCCAATGAAATTGTGGTAAGACAAGAATGGAAAGCTGAGGTCGAGTGGGTCCAACTCTTAAATACCCTATTCCCAATCCCACAAAAAATAAATGAAACAATTTATAAACACATTTTTATATGATTTGGTGTACTGTTTCAATAGCTTCAGTTTACATCGGAATTGCGCCTATGTGGTTTCATTTGTGTCTTTATCGTCTGCACTGAGCTGATCCAAAGCAGCAGCAACAACAACAACTGCAAGCAGAGCTTGGGCAGAGATTACATTTATGTCCATCACGATAAAACTTAACACAGGAGCGCATTAGTACTAACCGGATTCAATTGCCAAATTTGGGTTAAAAAGTCAAAGCTTACGGGAGTTAGTGGGGGAGGAAAATATGAAAAACACTTTCACTACGTACACATATGTATATGGCATCTGTCTGCAAAATGTGGAGTCTCTAGCTATTTTAGTCTCTGAGATCTAGGTGCTCATACTGTCGGACAGATAGACGGACAAACAGACGAACACACAGACTAAATCGACTCAGCTACTAATGCTAAACAAGAAATGCGTCTTAAATGATTAGCCAATATGTAAATCAAATAATGAAATTCATTGGTGACTTAATATTTAGGTATAGGTATAACTTTACAGTTCATTGGTGCGTCATTCGGGGTTATACTAAAAAAAAAATATGCTTAAAAGAAAACTTAATATTGACTTTTGTCGGATGCTCAAATTTTGTTTCAATGACGCTAATATAATATTATGTCCTATTCAAAAATTCATGTTTACTCTCCACCTTGCACGTTTACCCCGATTAAAAAATTAGTGATACTTTCTGCTTTATCATACATAATTGTAATAAAACCTGTTATATCTGAGGGGAATTACTTTAAAGGGACAAAATGGATATTGATTAAAAAATAAATACTTTTCAAAAAAAATCAAATTTGCACTTTTTTAACAGACCATGTACTATGTATATAGATAAGTGTAATGAAATCCAATTCCGAAGTATAGGAGACAAAATGTAAATACTTTTTGATATAAAATGAAATATTCCACTGCTACGTAAGTTCCTTAATGTGTTTTGGATAAATACACCCAACTGTTTGTTGTTATGAATTATTTTGGTATATACCTACATATATATACTCGTATGTATATACATACATACATATGTGTACATAGCAGCAGCTGTTTGCTAGTATTTATCAGATGTCGACGCCTTTCCTTGATGGGTGTCTGTCACTCAACAAATTGTCAAGTGATGGCGCAAATATTCTGCCACATGCCATAAAAATAGTAAATAAACAAATATTATATAAGCAAATGGCGGGCGTGTTTTTTCACTCCCTGATAATCACCTTTTGTGCGTTTATTGAACCGATAAGCCAGCGTTCATATCATATAAATATTTGCTCGTAAACACACATACTTATGTATGTATGTAGATATTTTTGTAAATAACTAATTACTAGAATCGCAATAGCCTCTTAGTTGGGGACGATGGATAAGCTATGGTGGCTCAATATGAGCCATTGAGTGAGTCAACGATATTTATATGTGCCATTAATATAAATAAAACAATAGCAAGGGATCTACATACATATATGTACTTATCTTGTTATCAATAACAATAAAAAAGAGTATGTATATAGAAAATTATTGGGAAAACAATGGGATGGTGTAAGCACCATTCACATATCTTATCCAATTAAATCTGGAGTGCGAAATGGAACTGAACTCGAATCAGAGCGTGATCCCAATCTTTTCAAACAAAAGTTTATACTAGGACTTAGTCAGCATTTAAAGTTGAGAAGGGCATGAACATTCAGTGCTTAATACATCCTATAATCTCTTGTTAGTTGACTGATAACATATTGTTAATTAAAAACACATATAATTATAATAATAGGTACACTGATAAAAAAAAAGAACGGAAATTTCAATATTTACACGTAGATTTAACTATTTTTACCATCAATTTTGCACCATCGAGTGTTTTAGTAAATATGAAGTGTGCACACTTAAATTTAAAAATTTAATATTAAAATATTAAATTTAAAGTGTGACGATATTAAATCACAATGTGGAGACGCGGGTTTAATTCACGCCAAAGGTTTTTTTTATAATTATAAAATATTTGTTCAACTTTTTTGTCTACATTACTGTTTTTTTTTTAACTCTTTTCAACATTATCATGACGCATATTTTATTTCTATATACTTGTATATTTTTTTTATCTATAGAACATCACCATTTTTAGCAGAAAGTAATTTTAAAGTTCTTTTGTTATTATGAATTAATTTTGTTGATGTTTTTTATGCCTTTTAGTACAATTACTATGGAATATAGTAAATGTGTGTTTTTTTTTTTTTTTTTTGAAGTGTGTGCATATTAATATTTAATAAAATAACGAAGTTTTACACTTTGTTTTGAATATTATTCACATTACAATCACTAATTGAATATGTTTTTAGTAAAATTTACGATGCTTATATTTGATTTGAATATGAAATAGATGAACATTAAATTTAATATGAAAATATTCATCCGTAATATGCAACTTTTTAATCAGTGTATGATTCATAAATATAAAAGCAGTTAAATCAAATACTTGTAGGCTTGTGATCACTTGACAATATTCTCAGACCGCACATTTCTCAAAAACGATTAAATTATTTAAACAACTGCAAAAAAGCTTGGAAACTCGTTAAGAGCATTTAATAATTTATTGCTTCCTTTATTGGGCAATTAATGTAGATCGTTGTTAGCTCTACTAAATGGACAATACTGGATACCCTTTTACGGGAATATTATAAACTGTATAGCAGTACTTAGTGCCAAATAAAATCAATCGTTTTTGGCGCGAATATTTCTTCAAGTCTTATATGGTATGTTTATAAAACATTTAGGTACTATTTGAACAGCTTTGATATTTTAAGAGCTAAAGTCATATCCGGTAATTGAATAATATGAGTAAACCATATTTTATTAAGACTATCTTCCTATACACGCACACGTATGTACAATAGAAAAGAATGCAACAATGAAATTGGAATCCAAATTTGAAGCTAGGCTGAATTAAGAAGACCCAGTCCGCACCATTTTTCCACTTTCGCGTTCACAATCATTGCACTGCACCCATAATGCGATCCGCACCTCTGTGTTTGCTCCAAATTTACTTGACCGTAAAGTCCAAAGAGGGGAACCCATGCAATAGCCCACTATATACATATATATATATATACATATTTAAAAAAAAAAACCAAAAGCAACTATTAACTACGAAGTAGGAACTTGGCAGTTAACAATTTTGTATGCTATTTGTTGGCTGCAACGCTGCGCTTCGGCTTCATTTACACTAGGTGCCACCAGCTCCGGTAACTTTGCCAATTCCTACTCAAAATTTGACGCGCCTCTGAGCTGCAATTTATGTTAATTATACGCTCCGTTGACGCGCATTGCCAAGCAGACACAATGAGAGGCAAGTGGCAACAGCTGAGGCTGGAATGCCAATAGAAATTACAGAAAATTAGGTTTTTGGGCCTTAACAAATTTTGAGTTTTCGCAGAGTTGACTAATTTGTATTTTGTTTGGCACTCCCGTTGCAGTAACCGACGCCACAGTTGCCGATTCTGATGACGACGCACCCGCTACAAAGCCGGAAATCCAAGCTCAGAGCATGCGTCTCTTCAAATCTGCGCGCAAATCCAACGATACATACAACACAGTAGCAGCAGAAGAAGAACAGGCGCACGACAACAGCTGCAGCTGCAGCAGCGGCAGCAGCAGCAACAACCATTGCAGTTGCAACCGCAGCAACAGCAGCTCTCGGAGCAGCAGCAAGTGTAAAAAACGGCACACCTTAGCAACATGCACCAGCAAGTTCAGCAAGAGCATTACGGGCAGCAACGCCATATCCTCATCGCTGCCTGATCTGCACGACAAGTCGCCAGTCATGATACTCAGCTGCACCACCTTGACCAGCAATGGCAGCAGCAGTACTGCCGCCGCGGCAGCAACAGCAAATTCGGCGTTAACAAGCGTCAATAGCAACAGCAACAGCAATAGCAACAATGCGCAGCCGTTACGCACGGCCACGCCCACATGTCTAATAAGCGGACGCCAGACACCATCGGCCATGTCGGTGATGTCTCTGCAAGACGCCACGAGCGTACGGCACCAGCAACAGATGCAACCGCAACAACAACATCAAGCCCCACATCCAACTATCTATGTGCCCGCCAAGTTGGGAAACAATGGCGCGAGTGCCACTCTGTTGGTGAGTTACGGTGGCAGCAGTAACAATATCGCTAGTGTACACCAGCAACAACACCAACACCAGCAACAACACCAACAGCAGCAACACTATCAGCAGTATGTGACTAACAATGCGACGCTTCTGGTCCAGCGCATGCATGCCACCTCGGCGTCCAGCAGCTGTCTCTACGAGTCGAGCAGCGGTGGTAACGGTCCAGGGAGCAACATCTCACGGGCCCCCGATGGTAAGCAACTACTATATTTGTTCATCCAAACCTTATTCCATGTACATATCTAGGATAACTTAAATTTCAGCGTTATTACTCCTCTCTGATATCGAATTTCGCTTTTGTGGGGTACTAGGTCGGCTATTATCGAGAGTGACATTGCAACGTCTAGCTGCCTGAATCTTGTTCGCCAAACGGTTGTCTGTCCTTGAGGACATCTTTTATTAATCCTGCAATCTGACTATTGTTGTCTCAAACTTCAAAAACCAGACCATGCAAACAAGCCCGATACTGCCAGCTTAAGAAATGTGGTTTCCAAAATTTTATTGATTTCAATTTTGAAGTGTAGCAACAATTGGATTTTCTACGAATATTCTTGAAAAAAAATTGATTCCAAATAAAAATATTATTTTTTCAAAAACTAAAAATAAATCTAAGCATAAACATCCACAGCTTAAGCAAATTTGTAATTGTACTAATTTATTTCTGTTGATGCGCTGCAAACCCCATACAGGGTCTAAGAATTGAGTTAAAAGATTCTATCACCCTCGAAAGCAATATTACTTAAATTAGTTTGTTACCAATATTACAAGTAAGAAACTGCACATTGCTTGATATCAGAAAGATGGAATATGATTTTCAACCTTAAGATTCAGATTTACTTAGATTCAAGACCTCCTGTAAATGACTACAATCGTTAACGTGCCAAAGGCAAGTTGCTGGGGTCTCATGGATATCGGCGACTGGCGCATAATAGTTTTCTACATCATGCTGAACGCAAAGACAACGCGCATTCTTTGTAGACTCGCTTAGCAACACGTATTTCTGTGCCCGTCTCAGCAACATGTTGACAAACAACTTACTGTGCGCCTGGCAGACATTCTCCAGACCTAGCCAAGGCCAGTGTGTCCCCAACTGATCCGTGACACGCCACAAGCTGCAGTTCTTGGCATCCCCCATAAGTCTCTTTTCTGCTCCCACATAAACATATTGCGTGGAATGTTGCAAGCACACTTGCTTGCTGAAGAGCAAGACGCGCAGGGGGCGCGGCAACGTTTGGAGCACATTCTGAAGCTGGCTGCTCCACGTAGCCTCGCCAAGTTCGCGCAATTGTCGCAGAGTCAGTGCAAAATGTTGCAGCAACATGTTGTCCAAGCTATGTGCTCGACGCAGTTGCCAGTAAAAGCTGAGCCACAGTTGCAGCTTAAATGAGTTGCTTGGCATAAGGAAATGTTGCAATTGCCGCAGCTCCCTCTGACTTTTGGGTTTCTCCAGCCAATCCATATTTTGAGCAATGCGCTGCAATTGTTTCTCACCAAGTCTACTCGCCACTTCTGCTGTCCATGCATCAAAGCTAGCTGGATCCTGATGCTGTTGATGAGTCAGCTGAGATAGAGCGTTGATCAGTTGGGGAACACCCTCTTGCTCCGACTCGGCAGCAGGCAGCAATAGGAGCATTACGAGCAAGGCACAACCCACAACCATTCCGTTTAAGATGCTCGGATTAACTGTCAAATGTTTTCATATGCTGTCTCATTTTTTGAATGCTTATCGGAACATCGATCTACTACGATTTCTTAAATACTATGGGCTTATCAGCAGAGTAGAGTGTTGTTGCACCCTCGGCTAGGCCAATGCACTCATATCGCACTCGTACTCGTGATAGCAGAATGCCAGAAGTAACAAATCTCTCTTCCTTGTTCAAGGTCATATGCCCGATTATAAATTGGTCACAGCTGTACCCGTCGTTGTCTTGGATGATGAACAAAAAGTGGTAGCCTCAGGAAATGCTGCCGCGCCAGCCACAGACTCCAATAACAGCAACAGCAACTCGCTTGCCAGCACCACGCGCAACGGTAAGTACTAGAAGGCGTTGATGCCAAAAATAGACTAATCCGGCGGTCCCACAACAAATCCCACTGTCTTAAATGCCTCGAAATTGATTTCCAAATTATGCTTGTGGCGCATCTTAAGTGTCGTCAAATCTATTTACCGTACACTGAGGCGCAAAAGTGTTTTGACAAGTGCCTCTCCAGTACCAAGCTGGTATTTTACCTATCATTCGACTACACTAACAGAAAATACGTTGAGGAATATGACAATCACTATATTCCCTGGATATATGCAGCACTTACATATGTGATCAAATAACGAAATTGAAACTGAATATTTTAGTATCTCTAAAGCATTTTTATTTAGTATTCGAATGCATGCAAAACATCATCTACTTGTTGTCATCGTAGAACAAAATACTCTGCATATACTTTAAGGTGGCGCAACCATGATTACATTTACATTTTTTGTTTAATTTTGATGCTTAGTCACTTTGTTTAGATTTGTAATGATAAACATGAAATGTTATTTCATTAATTTCTTTTCTCCGGGCATTATTGTGTATAATGCTAAGAAAAAAAAGAAACCAATCACTATACGTAAACTGTTGCCACCTCTTGTAGAATGCCTTCTGTCTACTTATTTCGCGGGATGCTGTCAAAACAAAGCGTGCTGAAGTGCCGCAATTTATGCGAGTGTGTATCATAGTTGGAAGCTGTGGAGGTGTCGTAAATTCTCCAAAGGTGGCTAATAGGCGACATGTGTCAGGGAGTCGGATGCGGGGCCGAGGCATATCCATAAAATAGGCAGCACTTTAGTCTGAATTTGGTTGGTTGGGGGGGCACAAACAGTGGCGGCTTTTACTAATTTAAAGTGCGTTTTAATTGAACGAGCACAAATTGGGCAAGTCTTCTGACGCGTTGAAAATCGCATGCGAAACGCACGCAAGCATTGTTGCGCATTATTGTTACTTTCTGCTCAGTCACTACATTTCCGCAATTGCAATTGTTTGTGCGCCTGCTGTTGTCGACTTTAAATCAGAGCCACAGCTGCGGCAATGAGTGGAAACCGCTTACAGTTGTCATCAATACGGAGCGCACCCAAAATACCGTATTGACCTGATTTCGCTGCTGGCGCTTCGGAGCTGTCATCCGATATGGACAGAAGCGAGTGGAATTGCGACTAAGTTTCGCCCAGCCCGGTGGTTGCGGTTGCGAATCGCTGATGTGAGCGAGGCACGCAGATAGTAGATACATACTATATACGAACTCGTACACAAATGCATGGCCAAGAGGCCCAAGCCCATAAGAGACAAAGTGTGACAAAGTGCTGCATTATATGCCATTCAAACTGATTATTCAGTTATTTGCCCAGTTATGCGATATGTGCTGCAAGTTGAGGCAACGCATTGCATAGTAATTATGGTAGCATGTAGCATGCGTGTGTTTTAAACAGTTACTGAAAGGTTAAACGCAAGAACAAACATACTCACCAACATACTAACATACCCAACGAATAACGAATGGCGATATTTCTGGGCCAATTCTAATAGCAGTACGAATGTACGAATTAAATGTATAAGAGTATGTATATTATTAATTTTAATATTATTACTATTTACTATTAATTCCTAGTGCGTCGCGAAAGATGCTTATAAATTAATGCACTAGTCACAAAAATTAAATTTCCTTAGATATTAAAATTCAAGTGATTTGAATAACCTACTTAACCTAATTTTCTTAATCAAAAAGATAAGAAGACGAGTGGATCTAGTCTGTCTGTCCGGCTGTCCGTTTGTCAGTATGTCTACTCCCACGCTATGGATCTTCCGTAACGCCATTCGTATAATCGTATATCGTAAATCTCGGCGTTTATAAGAGCTAGAGACACTAAATTTCAGTCCAAGATGTCTAATACGAATACGCAGATAACGTGTTTTTCAGAATTTCCGTCCATTCGGGAGGGTGGGCACTTCCCAGCAACAAGTGATTTTCCATAGCTTCCGTTACTCTGGAATTTTACAATCAAATTTCCAGTTGGTGTAATGTGCTCTGTTTCAATTAAAACGGTGATTCTTTCCGACATCGGAGAACTTCTAAATAGTGGTAGCGGGTGATATGAAGTAAGCGTATACTTAGGGGCTTTGCATTTTACTTTTTTCTTACAATATTGCAATATCAGGAACTTATTAAAGACACACTAAATGAGGTTATGGACTAATTCGAAAAGCAAAGGCTTTTCCTAAAAGACCTGCCTTGTTTATTTTAATGAAGCATAAAATGATCGTATCAATGCAGTTTGTGTGAGACTTAGTCTTGAAATAAAAATCAAAAATGCAAGTTCATATATTTATTTTACCTTACACTGTTTAGTGAAATGAAAATTTGAATATGCGTACGCAAGTTATTATTCCTGTTTGCATCCCATGCTCGTAGTCTATTCACAGCTTTAAAGCGATAAATGTATTTATTTTATTTGTTGAATTTCTGATAAGTAGCTAACAAAAAAGTTAAAGTTCAATAACATATCATGGGAAGCATTCAAACATGGGTATATACTTGTACATAAGTACAAACAAAGAAGCCAGCAGAATATCGAAGCAATCGAAACCCACAAGCGAAGCACACATACTATACATTATGTATGTACACGTATATGTACCTACCTTCCCTATGTATGTAAATACAAGTCCAAAAGCAATCACAACAAAATGCAAAGCAGAGCAGAGCAGAGATTTGAGTGGAGCAGAGCAAATGCAATCAAATCACGTACGAGCCGAAGATTTAAATACAACACAACAGAAAGAATTCTTCTTCAAGTCAAGCGAAAAAAGAGAGATGGGCCCCCAATGCCCCTAACGGCGGCTCCATCTTGATGTTGATGTTGATGTTGCCGGTGTGGTTCGTCGTTCGTCGCTCGTCTTTCTCCATTTGCCATTTGCCGTGGAGTCGAGTGCAAGATCGATAATCGGCCCGCAAAGAAATCAAGTCAAGAAGAACATGTAATAAGCGATAATCCACAGTAAATGCGCATGCGTGCAGTGGCAGCGCCTCACAGTTGGGAAGTGTGTGAGTGCGGGGGGTTTGAAGATCGCGCCTTGGCCATCGAGGGAAATTATAGCATTTATGTGCCGACAGCTGGGCGAGAGTTTTGATGTTGGCGCTTATTGATTTTTCGACTCTGATTCGCGTTCGCTTAGCGTTCCAATCATGCAACAATTTGCGAGTTGATGAAAGCAATTTGCAGTTATTTAGACGCGTTTTTCACAGCGCATTTCGTTGTTTCGAGACCGCTTGACCTTGGGGCGGCAGCGACCATTTAGCTTCAGTGAGCTTCGGGCGGTCCACAATTAAAATCAACATTCAACCAATTAAAACCCACTTCAGATTATGAATGACACACAAGACAGCGACTCAGCAGCTGCATTGCTGCCTCAGCTCAATGAACTCTCTGTCTCTGGCAAAGAGGTAAACGCGACTTTGGCATGCAAACATTATCATCTGGTGGCCACCATAGACGCAACCGCGAGCGCCACTGACATAACGTGCAGCTGCACCTGATAACCGAGCAACTGTGCAACTTAATGGCCAAAAAATGCACTTAGAAATTACGCGGGTCGCTCACTGCTGAGCACGGGCCAACCGCGATGTGGTTTCAACGTTAGAAGCACAAACGAATGCCATAGAATGGACGGCAACAGTTTGTGGAATCACTTAAATATACTTACTTTTGTACGATTTGACCATTTGGGAGCCACAGCCCTAATTACCAAAGCATTAAATTGCTTCGGAGATGGCAGGCTCAAATTAATTTGTCGAATCAGGTAAGTCCGATTAAGGGCGGTGGAAAGTGAAAAAGAAAATGGACTTTGAGCACGGTTCAAATAGGCTCGGTTAGTGAGAATAATTTACTGAAGTGCCCAAAGCCAACGCCCTAAAAACAAAGTCAACTAATTTTATTTTTCTATAAAAAACACTTCCTCGTCATACAGAGAAACACATGTAGGTTATGAACCGAACAAAAATTTTGCAGATTAATTTGAATTTGCATACAAAACACTAAACGAAGGGCATATCTATTTTATGAATGCGCTTAATTGATCAGCTAGGTTGCTGTGAAGATAAGATTTGCTTAGAATACATATATATACACATTCATATACATATGTATATGGTCATGAAAATGAAATTTTTTTATGTTAATAGGCATAACATGTAACTATAACCAGCCCTAAATTTGGTGCTAAAGTTGATTTTGGGCAACTTTTCGCCTCAAAACAAGGCATTCACACGAAATAAACTCAAAAGTTGTTTTCGCTGCCACCAGTTTAATATATGAATGAGACTAGTTTTAGAAGGTTGTACATTATTGTCTCTTAAAATTAGTTTTGATTTTTCCAAAAAAATATTTATATTTTTTGCCTTTAACGGGACATTCTTTATATCATATATTTTTGTTTTGTTTCTTTTTTTTTTTTTTTTGATTTTATATATATAAACTTAGTAAAAATGAGCTAACAGAAATAATCAATGCTTATATTTTCATTTTATAATATCAAACATAACAATATCAAACAAACAATCTTTATAATAGTATTAAATGAATAAGGCAAAATAAATTTAAATGTGTAATATTAGTAAAATTAAATACGGTTTTTTTCAGAATAATTCCGAACCGTAGAAACAAAATGGTTTTGGATTCCTTTATCTGTCATAATTTCCTTTTGATAACTGCTCGCTCCAACCCGATCAATGCATCGCGGCGGCTGCCTTTCTATGTGAGCTTCGAAAAAATTCTATTTAACTTAGAAAATCAACTAAAGAGCAGCAGTAAAATTAAAATAATTTTTGAAAAACATCAAAAACCGTTTGCACGCCTCTTCATTTTGTTCGCCATTATTTTTGATCATGTATCGTAGATTTCCATAATATTAAAGTATGGACTAGGCATATATACAAAAAATGATCACTTATGTAGGAAAACATAGATTAAGTCCTGGCTACGCCCATGATTATACGTGATTAATAAGTAACACCCTTGAACTTGAATTAACAGCTAAAGATATCGCTGGTTAGAATGGAGTCGATTGCATTGTGAAACCATCTGGCAACGCTAGGCCCTCACTTGCATCAAGCGCGCTGCGCTTGCATGTCAGCCGGCAAATTGCAACAAAGCCATCTCGGAGTTGGCCGACTGGCGAGCATTTGACACCGTCTTGAAAGTTAAGTGGGTGTAGAATTTGTGGCATGCCTGGCGGCCAACAACGATGTCCAGACTGTGTCCACGATGGCGAATACCGCGACTCTGCTTGAGTGGTGCTCGCTGTCATATAATTGATGCCCGCGCCAGTTGCTATTATGGTTTAACACTCTGCCTCTTTACAATTGCGGCTACCCCACCTCTGTACCCACTGCACACTTCATCCTCTGGTTGATTGGAACGCGTGCCGCCTGCTGAAAACTTTAATCAAAAGCGAAATAGCAAACGCTCTTGGGCTCTTGGGGGAGTTAAGTCGGTCAGCGCGCTGGCGTACGGCCTAGGTGGAGTACCTCGGCAGCTGTCAACCTGCATTGGCCGGCCAGCACCATCATCTCGGCGCCCACACATGGCCATGTGGCTGGCAATTTGGTGAAACGCGCCTGCGGCTCAAGCAGCAACAACCAGAGTCAATTCCTGCCAATTCCACTAGAATGGAACGCGGCTATTAAACAACTTTGCCACGAGTCACCAACTCGGCTCTAACAAATATCGATAAGCTCATGCACCACACTCAAAAAAAACTAATTGGCGTATAAATAACACATGCATATTAACTCGGAACCCTTATACAAGTATGTACTTCGGCTTACAATTTTGGCCTTCCAAGTATTTTAATAATAAGATTAAAATTAGGTCCTTAACTAAAACAAATTTAAATATTATTCATTAGTACGCACACTACGGCTTAAAAGCAACAATTCGAACTTTGAAACTAAACTAGGAGGAAGTAGAAGGAGTTACAAGAACAGTCCCAGAAGAAGACTCCCAGCAATACTAGCAACAGCTCTTGCCAATCCTAAGTATTCCATTGAAAAAAGAACTGAACTCTTCCACCAAACCTCTTCCACTTTTCTCCCAGTGCTTTCAGATCCGAAACCCTTGCTCCAGCATCCGTCCACCCCCGTTTGATGTGCACTTAATGTCACACATAGAAATGCTTTTCAAAATTTTATTGAGCCATTGAAACGCGATACTTGGCGCATTGCAAAAATTACTGAGTATTTTGTGCATGTTTTATGCTAATTGTCGCTGCCCCTCTTCCCTCTTATTCGTTCGTCTCTTCTTCCCACCTGGGCGAACGTCTGCCCCGACTGTGATAAATATGGGACAAGCGCATAAATTTGTTTATTAACGAGTTGGAGACGTGGACCTGCACTTGGACTGAGATCCAGACTGCGATCAGGCGCTGCTGAACCGCTGCTGATGCCATTTTAAGTGTTGGCTATTGCTGTTAAACCTGATCATAAAAATATTTTACGACGTTATTAGATTGCGATTGCACGGCTCTTTTTGGGCGTATCGCAGATGGACTTAGTTAGTGGTATGACCATTTTGTGATTGGTTATGCTCTGTTTGTAATTGAGGTGTGTTTAGTGCCAATAACTGTACAGAGTTACGAGCGAACTTGTTGGCCCAGCCAAACAGAACTATCCGCACTCTTGCCACATATATATGTATGTACTCCTCAAATGTATGTATGTATGTACATGCATTCGTCTGGTATGACTAATGTGTAGAAGGTAACATTTGGGTTTAAAAATGCGGCACATACTCTTTATGTCTGTTTAATTACAAAACTCATGTAAATTAATAGGCGGTAGCGTAGAATTAATTGCAATATGCGCAGGGAGCAGTTCGGCTTCGATTTCCGAAGTTGCTAGAAACACATTTGTGTGTACGCTATACGAGTTTGTCCGTTATACAGAGTTTTTCCGTAACGCCGTTCATATTATATCCCCTATATCTATAAGAGACGTACGCAGAAAATGTGTACATATTTCATAATTTCCCGCCCGCACATATTTTCCCCCATAATTAGCGTATTATATAACTCCCGTAATTTTGGGAACTGAGAATTCTGCATGAACGCAAGGATAATAGCTAGAATAACTAAACTTGATGCACCCCCGCACATCCCCGCTATTAGTGATTTTTCATAACTCCCGTAATTCTTCGAATTTCGAATTTGGTAATTACTTACAGTTAGTGATTATGTGACCGTTTGTTAAGTTTTATTATAATATGTCAATTATGAAGAAAGTTAGGGCCATAAGCCGAAGCTCTGCCCGCAGCTGCAGTTTTTGTTGCTGCTATGACTTAATTCTGTACTACATACATAAAATTTTGATGTAAATGTATGTATTGAATATATTTTGATTTAATTAAATTAATCTCTTAACTAATTTAATTTTTAAAAATTAATTTTTCATATTTTTTCTTTTTTGTGGGGTGGGTTCAAGGTTTTTAGGAGTTGAGCCCGCTCGACTCTACCATTCCTTTCTTGATTTTCTTTCGAACATGCTTTGATCAAGTTTCTTCAAGTTTTTGACTTTCCAACTGACTTCGGCAAATGGAAGGCGATGCATTTGAATCCAAAAATTCTGAACAGACAAATAATAATTTTGGAACCAATTCTACTTCTTTACCCTTTTCGATATTTCTAGGGAAATTCATTTCAATAATTTAAATTATCTATCATCGCTATCATTTAAATTATTAGCGACTTGTTATAATCATAAAAATGTTTTACGGATGATTAAAAAAACAGGGTCTCTCATTCAAGGATTTTACTCGCATAATAACGAGAATATGGGAGGCTTAGAGTTCCAATAATATAAAGAGAAAAAGGGAAGAGTGTGGTTTGGTTCAGTGCCTTTGCCAACATAGGATTCCTTCTTAGTTTTTGGGCCCATTGCCATCTGCCACGCCGACTGACTTTGACTGACTGACTGACTGCAGCCGACCGCTTTCTTGAACAAAAACCACAATGCATGTAATCCAATGCCTGTCACAAGCACGTGGCAAACAGTCGCTGCAATGCGGTGACTGTGGCTGCATTGTCATTGCCAATGGCATCAGCTTCATTCGTTATTACCAGTGCTTGTCCATTTGCCGACAGTCCCGCTAATTCAATATTGATGCGCGGACACTTTTCATTGGGCCGGAGGGGCTGTCAATGTGGCGGCAACTCTCCGCCTATCAGGCGTCAAGATTTATTGAGGCGTTATAATTAAGTTAGAAATCGGTTTTGATTGAGTTTCTCCCTCCACTTTCCACTTCTCGTTGCAGTCTTCACCTGGGGCAAGCGCATGAGTCGCAAACTGGATCTACTGAAGCGTGGCGATGCCGCCGCTACCGCCAACACACACAAGTCCCACAGCGATCTGCGCAGCCTCTTCCACTCGCCAACGCACCACAAGAACGGTACCAGCAACAATGGCAAGCCTGCTGGCTACCAAAACAATACGCTCAAGAAGTGCAAATCAGGACCCATAGAGACGATCAAACAGCGACAACAGCAGCAACAACAACAGCAACAGCAGCCGGTACCGAGTCAGAGCGCTCAATCCACGCCTACACACCAGCAGCAGTCACAGTCCCATTCGCATTCGCATGCGCAGACCCACGTGCCGCGCCCCCAAAAGGCGCTCAAGAATTTCTTCCATCGCATTGGCTCTACGGGAATGCTTAACCATCGCTCGCACAATTTAGTGCGCGCCTCGGCGCAAGAGCAGGCCACACCCACAACTACGACACTATACCGCAGTAGCTCGACCAGCCAGCTGTCCAGCTACATCAAATGCGATGATCCCACTGAGGGCCTAAATCTTCAGACCCAGCAGCGACTGCCGCGGCTAGGCAATGCGGCCAGTCTGAAGTCCAGCAGTTGCGACGACATAGCTAAGGTGACCAGCTGCCTGGCTGCCAGCCAAAGTAGCAACAGCAGTGGAGCCACTAGTGTGGGGTCACCCATTAATGGGGAGAGCCAGAATGGTGGCCAGCAGGCGCCACAGGAGGCTGCGCGTCGCGGCGCCTTCCCTTACGCGTTTCTGCGATCGCGACTCTCGGTACTGCCGGAGGAAAATGGTGGCTCTGTGCTTCTCAAGCATCAGCAGGCTTCACTCAGCAGTCTTCTAGAGACCCCCTCACCGCTACCACAGCGCCGTTCCCCTGACCAGCAGCAGCAACAACAACAGGTACTATTGCAGGACTCGATATCCAATGTGTCCCGCAACAATAGTATCTCATCGAAGGACTGGGAACCACTTTACCAAAGATTAAGTAGTTGTCTAAGTTCAAATGAGTCGGGCTACGACAGCGACGGGGGCGGGGGCGGCGGCGGTGGTGTACGCCTGGGCAATAATCTTAGCATCTCTGGCGGAGATACAGAATCTATTGCATCGGGCACGCTAAAACGCAACTCCCTCATCTCTCTCGCCTCGTCGGAGGGCGTCGCAATGGGCATGGGCGGAGCACGCAACAGCATATGCAGTGCCCCCGTTTCGCTCGGGGGGTACAATTACGACTATGAGACGGAGACAATACGGCGGCGCTTTCGGCAATTAAAGTTGGAGCGCAAATGCCAGGAGGACTACATTGGATTGGTGCTGTCTCCCAAGACGGTGGTAACCAACAGCAACGAGCAGCAATATCGCTACCTGATTGTCGAGTTCGAGCCATATGGCATGGCGCAAAAGTAAGTACGACTGAGACTACACAGATCTGTCTGGCTTCAAATGGAATGTCAATAAAAGAAAATTGGTATATCGCTTGAGTATCTTTTTATAATTTTACTTTAAAATTCGTTTACTGTAACTTTTCCCAGAAATAGGCATTTTTATTTTTGTAAAGCCCCTAGCCCAGTGTTTATGCGGCAGTGCGCTGTTAACTACGGCTGCCAAGACTAACAGCTGTAAACGGTCTGTTAGTTAACAGAGCGCTGCCCTCGGGCAGCCTCTCTCCCTAATAGTCTAATTAGTCTGTAAGCGCTTTACTGGGAATTCGTAAAGTTAGGTTAAAAAGAAGAAACTTGGTGAATAGACGTGTGTTAGTTTTTCACTTACGCCGCCATTTTGGATATTTAACCAAAGCGACGCCCCACTCCTTTACATCCAGGATAGCTAGTACTTATAACGAAATTATTTCCGAATAACAATGCAGTAGATTTGAAAAGGTAGCGTTGGAAAGGAACACAGCGTTTCTGAGGTTTCACAGACCTCCATAAATGTTGTGTAATTGTTTTATTTTGAAATTAAATTGAAATTTAATCTAGACGGTAAAAATAAGGCAAAGGAGAATGTTGTACTATAGAACAATTTGAATTGATGGAACATTAATGATTAGAAAAGGGGACTTTAAAAAGAGATTTCCGACTAATTCTATACTCCTACTACCCCACAGAGATGGACGACTGCGCTTGGGCGATGAGATTGTCAATGTGAATGGGAAGCATCTGCGCGGTATCCAGTCCTTTGCTGAAGTACAGCGCCTACTTAGCACCTTCGTAGACAACTGCATTGATCTGGTCATAGCTCACGACGAGATTGCGACCGTCACCGACTTTTACACCAAAATCAAGATCGATGGTATGACTACAGCGTTGCAGCAGCAGCAACTGCGCAAGAGACTCAGCTACACGCAGCGCACACAGAGCACGGATAGCTTAAACAGTAGCCATGCATTTGACTTACAAAGTCTGCAGGACCCCGAAGAAGTCAACACTCTGCCAGACGATGTGCGCTCCTTGGCCAGCGATAGCACACTACCCACGCCAATGCCACTGATGCAGCATCGTCGCAGTTCAACTCCACGTCACTCACTGGATGTCAGCGGGCCGGAGAACGAACTTCTGCGCCGCCGCGCACGCTCCTCCTCAGGTCAGCGCAGCTTGGCCCTAACCCCGCTTTTTAACAGTCCAGGTGGCTGCAGCTCACCAGCTAACTCTAACTCTAATCCCGACTCCTACACACCGGTTTATGCGAGTCGAGCCGCAAGCGTTTGTGTCTCGCTAGCCGACGATGAGAAGTGGCAACTATTGGCGCACAAACGCTGCTCCGAAGGCGGTCTCGTTCCCGATCTGTCCGGCCGTACTTCTGGCCAGCGCAGCACCTCGCTCACCTGTGCCCTGGAACCACGACGTAGTGTGGGCGGGGTTATAGCTGGCTCAGGTGACGATGCAGTCGATGGACAGACGAGTTCGCAATTTGCCACGCGAACGCATTACGCTCGCAATTCGATCAACTTGTCGAACTCGCATTATCGGTCGCTGCGTTTCGCGCACTCGCGGCTGAGCTCCTCAAGATTGAGCTTGTTTATGCAGGCGTCGGCAACTTCTAACCAACTTAACCCAAGCGAGACGGCCACTGGCACCCCTGACAAGGCCAATACAACATCACCAACAACAAACACTACTACTACAACAACTGATCTCACTAATAATATGGCGGCACAGAAACAACAGCAATCACAACAACATCATTCATTATATATCAAGCACACGCCAAAGAGCGTTTCTCTCTTTGCGCCTAATCCATTTCAAAATACATCATCAGCCTCCTCTAATGGCAATACATCCAACTCATTGGCGCCTCCCACTGCTTCGCTAATGCATCATCGACCATCGCTGCCCGTGGCCAAGCTAACCATTCGAGACGAGGAAATGGCCGAGGTCATACGCGCCTCAATGAGCGAGGGTGAGCCTAACACAATAACCGAACACACACACACACACTCACTGAATACCTCCAATTGTAACTTATCCCACCATTATGCCACCATTTATAGGTAACGGGCGCTGCACCCCCAAGACGATAACCTTCTTCAAAGGACCTGGCATGAAGTCGCTCGGCTTTAGCATTGTTGGCGGACGCGACTCCCCCAAGGGCAACATGGGCATCTTTGTGAAGACAGTGTTCCCCTCTGGCCAGGCCGCGGATGATGGTACTCTACAAGCGGGTAAGCTCTGCCGCCTTTTGGTTTTGTATGTGTGATGTGTACCGTTTGATTAACAATAGTTGCTTCTATACATACATATGTATATACATATCTATTAGATCGGTATAAGAAAATATTTGGAACATAGTTACATTTCTTCCTTAATGGCCATAGGAAAATTTGAAGTTTAAGTTAGGATAGATTGGTATGGCTGGGGTAATGGTTATTACCCGCACACTTAGGCCTGAAAGGCCCCTTGTGGTACCATATAATCTCTGTAGACTTTCTTTTGGAAATTTGATGTGTAGAACAGTATATAAATATTCTGTTAATATCAACCTGTATAAGAGGGAAAACACTTTAATCTAAATATCAATATAGGCAGCCATTTGCCGATGTAAGAAACTAAGACTCCAAATTTCTAATATCGATTTGAGCTGAAAAATTTACAACTCCACTCACAAAATTTCTCATTATAAAAATAGTTTCGTACATATTTAAGAATTTAGTTTCCAATGTTAACAATATCTTAAACGTAAACAAAAATTCGTTTCCAGTACCAGTCATTCCAACCACGATAAAGGGTCAACTTATTTGAAATCAGAATCTGAATTGGGAAAGTGTATTTAAATGTTTGCTTCGAAGAGTTGCACCAAACCTTGGTCCCAACATTTCAATGCCTTCGTTCATTTCCAAATAAAAAAATTCCCATATTAGCCGTACTATATTCTATGTGAGATATTTAATCTGACAATCCAATTAAACGATCACTTTTAATTCATGCTTGTGCAAGCAGCCGATCTTTCCAATAGCATCTATAAGATATAGTATAGAAAAGCACAGGAAGGTATAGCTATGTTGCTTCCGATCGTCCATTTGATCATTTGTGTACGCATAACCTGGGAACTGCCACACCTCCATGTGGATGTTACATATTCGAGACCAAACGCATACACTGTTTGAAAGATTTAAATGATGGTTTAGACTCTTAGAGTACATCAATTCACTATTAATGTTTATATAAATAGAAAATCATCAAATAATCGCACAAGTATTAAGCTCTATAAATAAATGTGTTTTAAAGGTGACGAAATAGTCGAAATAAATGGCTGTTCCGTACAAGGCATGAGCCATGCTGAAACCATCGGACTTTTCAAGAACGTGCGCGAAGGCACAATTGGGCTGAGGATTTTGCGCAGGAAGTAAGTACAAAATTAAAATAAAACACTCAGAATCTTACATTATTTTTTACAGATTACAAAAGGCAAAATCGATGGGCACGTAAGCAGTGGGTCCGAAGATCAACAAAATCTTTTAGTTAAGTTTTTAAACTCACATTTAAATGTACGTAAGCCCCCTAATACATACATATATATGATTAATCACGTTATCGATATCAAATTTGATTAATCATGTTCATGTTGAACTTGTAGTTAAATTTTTCTAAACGTACAAAGCATTGGTTTATATGCATCTGTATTCTAAATATACAATTATATATTTCATTTAGTTATAAGCTTTTTGTGAGGTACACCTCTATGTATATTTACCTATATATTAGTTATAATGCATTACTATTTTAAATTATTCACTATGTTAGGCTTTTTGTGAGTTAATTACATTAATTGAAATAAAAATGTTTAAAAACAACATCAAACTTATCAAACGCTTCACTCCACATCATCCTTTAAAATCAGTCTTTGCTTCTTGACAAAATGTTCAATGCGGTTCTCCAGGCTCTCTGCAACCACAAAATTGACATAAAGTAGAGAAAAAAACCTGTTAGGCTTAAAATGCAAAGCTTACCACAACGCTTGCGCTGCAAAAGAGGTTGGTATTGCCGTGGCTTGATCGTATCCTGAAGCAGCAGCACCTGTGCGCGCACCTGCTGCGGTTTGAAAGCACTAGTCTGCAGTGCTTCCAATTGCTCCAGCACATTGCGAATCATGGTGCACTTTACACTAAACTGTGTCCACTCGCACTGTACATTCTCTATTAATTTTTGCATATTTTCTTCGTTGTAAACCCACTTTGTAATGTCAGGTTCACTGGATGGTTTTGCATTCTCGCTACCGCCCTCAACTACGACATCTTCGGTAGCTTCAGAATGTGGATAATTTGCAAGGCGTGTGGTGTGCGCACTGAAGTCACAATGAAATAGGTTCAAGGGCAATCCAATGGCAGGTGTGTATTGGGGCTTGCACGGGTTGGTGGCCACATCCAGCAATTCACTTATGACGCTTGGCTGCTCGCGCTTCTGTCCTACGAGCAGAAGAACAGCCATGATGCAGCGTATTTGATGCCACAGAAACGCATTTGCTTTAATCTCTAGGTAGTACATAGCATATCCCGATTCCGAATCGATCCCAGTCTTGTCACATGACTCCACACACGCCGCCTGAAGATTCCGCATGTAATTGGTGACACCATTGTGGACATCCATCTTGCAAAAGTTTCGGAAGTCTGCGTGCTGTACTAGAAGCCGACAAGCCGCCCGCATCGCTGCAATGTCCAAGTCACCTTGGGGAAAGTAGTAGCGATAAGTCCTGGCCACGCAATCGAAACGTGCACTGTAGACTGAACTACGAAGCGGCATCCAAGCAATGCACTGTATGTTCTTCGGCAACACCCGATTCAATAGACCGCAATAATCGATTTCCGATGCCAGAGCCGACGGATCGTGTTGATCTACTGCGTTGTGTTTGCTGCGCAAATCTATGGAGATCACTTGACAGAAAGCGCTCACCTCCTTGTCGGTGCGTCCGCAGCGATGATAATTGGAGCTAGCGCGAGACTCGATTAAACAGGTGCGAGTAAGCGCCCGAAACAAGTGGGACTCGATAGTATCATTCGAGTCCTCCTGGCAGGCGAATCCTTGATAGTCCCAGCCAAAGTATAACAATTTCAACAGTACGTGACGTTTGTGTGCGCTGTACAAAATGCTATTTAGTGATTCCTTCTGATTCTTAATAGTGCACATTTATGCATACCTTGCCCAATTAAATTTGCGTTGCGTGTCCCTCTTGTTTTTATGCTGTTGTTGCTCACCGTATTGCTTCAGCAGTGCTTCCGACGGCTCATTTTTTTGTTGCAAAAACGTCTTGTACTCATCATCGTCTTTATCATTGGAGTTCAGTTTCTTTTGTAGTAGGTTGCGTAGTTGAAAGTTATACGCCTCCAACTGAATTATTTTATCGATTAGGTCTGCTTTGCTCAATTGCTCCAAGGCCTGGCGCGGCAATCCTTTCAACCGCTTATTGATCACCACTTTCCTATCGCCAATTGCGCTCATTGTGGACACACAGCATAAAAACAGCGTGACACCATGGATGTTGCAAACATCTGTAGCTTTTCGCACCCTTTACAGCACTAGGTTTAGCATTCCGGTTCACTGTACTGGTTCAGTTACCAATGTCATCGATAAAAACAGAACAGCAAAATTTAACAGTTATAGTTTTAAACCTTTTTTCCGAATATCTTAATCAGACACAAGTATTCCGAAGACAAGCGAAAAGTGGTTGTTCACGTTTTGATTTGCCTTTAAAAAAATGAAATCTTAAACAGCCATCAGGGAACCCCTCACTGTTTTTGTAAAATACATTGATGCATCTGAATCAGAAATGTTATCGTAAAATATCGATTCATCGACTACATATCTCACATCCCTATTAAATATTCTATTGTCGAAACCATTAAAGTAGTCAGTCACATAGTATTTAAATAAAATAATATGCAGCGCGAGGACAAGCACTTTGAAATGACACTTGATGCCGTTCTGACACGGCTCAATGATCTGAAACTGGCTGTGCACGCCATGATACAAAAGCTGGAAATGGAATACGAAACGATAAATTGGCCAACTTTCCTGGACAATTTTGCGCTGATATCCAGCCATTTGACCGGTCTGACTAAAATTCTAGCAAAAGAGCAGTGTCCGCCACTTCGAAATCGCACAGTTCTCCCGCTTCTAGTCTCAATGGATCGCGACGAAACGCTGGTAAATATCACAGAGGGGCGTGTACCGGTCTTCTCGCATGACATTGTGCCGGATTACTTGCGGACACGGCCTGACCCGATAACGGAGCAGAAGATGCAGCAGAACGAGCAAAAAGCAGCAAACTTAACCAACGATGCGGCCATGAAGCAGGTCACACAATACAACAAGGTCGTTTCGCACGTACTAGACATGGTGACAAAAGCGCGCGAGGAGTGGGAGATTGAATCCTCAGCACGCATACAGCAGACCAGCAGCATTTCCGATACACATCTGCTTGTAGCTGCTTTGGGAATGGGAAAGGGTCTGAAAATGACCATGCCAATGGGTGGAATGCCTCCGATGGCAGGACCAGGTCAAATGATGGTACCACCCTCCATACGTGCTCCCTCACCGATGGGCGGCCCCGGCCTAAGCCCCGGAAATGTGCAGCAACTTGGAAAGGCGCCGTCGGCAGTAAAAACAAACATAAAATCTGCAAACCAAGTCCATCCATTTTCTCGATAGTTCTTCGCATATCGAAGTAATTTATTGTTGCGTTTATTATATAGGAGTTGTCGTCAACGGAATGTTTCGTCATAAATTATTAAGCATTAGAAATAGATAATAAATTTAACACATAAATTCATAAAAATAGAGTCGGCTGTAGTCTATGCCGCAGGCTGAGCATGTTGTTCCTTAATCAATATTTCGTGTATTTTTATGTCTAGCGGCGTTGAGGTATCGATTAGCTCGAGGCACAGCGAGCGCAGTTCTTCTTTCACCCTGTCCACACGGCGCACAATGCCAATGAACTTCTGACCTAGCGTCAATTTACGGAAACGGACACAATTTTCCTGAGTCCAGTCCACATCTTCCAGCTTAATGCCTGTGTTTAAGAGAAACGTCATATAGATTTAAAGAATGCAACAATAGGCGGCGAGCATTGCAATACCATAGAGCTGCGCTCGTAATGACATCTTCGGCAGCTCGTACATCGCTTTCGGTAACTGGACCAGCTGGTCGCAACGAACAACGCCATCGTCACCGAAGTCCACGAAGCGTACATGTATCATTTCGTCGTATATCTTATAGATGATTACGCTGTAATACGATCACACATACATATGCATATGGGTCGTTAGGAAGGATATTAGGATAAGTGTGTGAGGAAGAGAAGTGAAGTTCTGCAGTGATAAAATTTGATATTTTCAAGGATTTCTGTAACAGGCCTATTTCAAGGTCTCCTTATAAAAAAAAAAACGAATGTCTATAAGCCTGAGAAGTGTCATAAATATTAAATACTTGAAAGACTTCAAGCCAAATAAATAACAATAGCACGAGCCAATAAATATTCATCACTGTTTTCTATATTATAAAGTTTCACCTGAATTTTAAATTTTTTTTCACATCAAATTTATAGTGAAAAATCGCTCAAGGGGAGTGCCCGATTAATGGGATACATAAGTATCCGCCTAAGAGTGGTGTCCGGATAAAAGAGGTGAGCACTAAGAGAGTTTTCACTGTATTCCACTTTTGATACCGAATCCATAGTGTATATATTTTTAGTCAACATGACGAAAAATCGATATCGATACAGCCATGTCCGTCTGTCTGGATGAACGCCTAGAATCTCCTTATCCCCAGGCACCACGAGTTTGTTTCATTTCTTTTATTTCCCTTCAATACTACGTTTCTGATCTACTATCATATAATTAAGCGCAGGATGTTTGTTAGGGTACAGGTTATTTAACTGACGAGTTTGCTCGACTGTTGTGTGATAGTGATAATCATGATTCAAATCAAGTTTATGAACCCATTAAATCGTTGAAAAACTGTAAGTAATTTTAGCCTAATCCTATATGTAGTATATTAGCTGATCTTAAGAACTTCGTTTCAAATTAAAGCTGAAATTTTTACGTATGCTTAAAATTGTACGCATAAAGACTTGTCGATCTACCAGAATTTCAAGCTATGAATAAATATTAACAGTTGAATACAAAGCCGATATAAGCTATTTGGCTAAAAGCGATCCGTTCTACAAATAGATCAGTCAATTAATCAGTCACCCACCGATGATAGACGCCATCGCTATCTAGAGCGGCATAGGCCTGTCCCACTAGCAATTGCGTGGGCAACACACGCTCCGCCTTCGGGCTCTGACAATGTGCCTGCAGCTCCTTCATCAGCGACTGGAGCTGATTGTAGAATTTGTATGGCTGAACCTGTCGTTAGGAACGCAAGCGATGTATTAGTTGGATTCCGACACACTGACTTCAACTTACCGCAAAGTGTCCAGGATTAACTGAGAGAGCAACGCGCACCTCAAAATAGGCACCCACCGCTGGTATAGCCTCGTATGCTTTCAGCATGGGTGCCATCTTTATTGGCGATATCGGAGGCGTGACCGCCACAGATGTGGTTGTAGTCGGCGTAACCTCGTTGCTGTTCGTGCTGTTATTAGACACGGTGGAACTAAACGAGCTGCGGCGCAAAAGTTGTCCACTGGGACTAAAGTGCAGCCCGCCATCGTCGAACGGCTCCAGACGAGCCGAGCTATACATATAAGTATTAAATAATGGATTTTTGGAATAGCGCATATGAAAGTCGATATTTTTTTTTCTTGTTATGTATTTTTATATACAATGAAAGGTGACCTTAATCTAAACATTGGGTTACATGACAAGATGAGAAGCTTACAGTTAGATGTCATTAATGCGGAGAATTTTGAATCCCAGTTATATGCAAGCACTAATTAGAAACTATAAGTTAATACCAAGAAAATATACAGAGTGCGTGTTTGTGTGTTCAAGTGTGATTGTTAGGTAATGAGCTACTCACCTCTGTATCTCATGCTCCATACGAATAGCACTGTTAACACATAAGTAGAGACCGTCCAGTCCGCGAGCGTGAATCGTGACCATTGGCAACTGATCGCTGGCGCCCTCCATTACTTTTAACTACAAGTACATGAAAATGTATAGCATTTAAGTTAGTTAATCGTTGAATAACTTAATAAAAGCCTCGTATCTAGTGAAGTTACAAATAAATTATAGCTTTTAGGATTTTCAATGGTCTTTATGAAACGGAGATTGGGTATTCGGACGGATTAATCATACATTTTCTGATATTTACCATACACGAACGAAATGATAAATGGCAAGTTATCACTTTGTTTTTAAAATGTGTAAATAGATTTGTATGATAAATATGCATAATTCGAGAAAATTTCTTGAATACTTTTTTGTACTTTCCCAAATTCGATTATTCAGTTCAGTATCTTCATTTAAGTGAATTTAATTCAAAGAATATACATAACTTGGATTGGAAATACTGGTGAAAGGCTGGATTTCTTTATGGACCACCCATGATTATAGGAAGGGGTTGTGCGACAAGTTAAACTGAAACTTACCAGAACTTCGCTCTGGGGCGACATCAGACCGCGCAATCTACCAACCATTTGGTTATCGATTGGCGGCACATCGTGTAAGCGGACACGCAGCGCCTGCGCCGGATATGAAGCTAAAGCTCTGTTTAGAGCTTCTAGCCGATAAATATTTGACAAGTGTGTTTTCCGCATGCGGCCATCATCGACATAGTAAACATCATAAACGTCAACAGCATCCACTTGCTTTGGCTTGTAGGTGAGCATGCCACGATGCCACTGCTTGATACCCTCTGCCGACTCGTCGCACACAAAGAATAGCCGATCGTGCTGGAGATCCGCAAAAGCTGCATTTTTATGTTCCGTATCTGTCGCCATTATTTTTGATATGCTACGTTGCACAAACTTGAGATCCTCGTTAGGCAGCAGCACAAAAAGATCACCCCCATCGTTTATGTGCGATACAATCACCGGATTTGATTTTTGCTCGAGTTTCAACTGAGGCGACGGCGTTGCTCGGTTTATCTGTCTAGCAACCTGTTCATTCAGATTAATATCCTCTGGTGTTGATGTGTCGTAAAACAGTGCGACAATACAAGCGGGCTCCTTTTCTGCAGCCTGCTGAGCATTGCCTGTGCTGTTTCCGGCCTCGACGAATTGCGTCTCTGTGGTCATTATCTTAGCCACAACTGTACGACCAACCAGCTCCTTGCTCAGCTGCAGCTGTGCATGCGGATGCCCCTGGTAGCTTTCCAGGCCATACATAGACAGACACACAGCCTGCGCGGGCAATTGCAGGAACGTTGTGTCGAGTTCAAACATATCTTCGTAGGCAAATGAAGAGATATCTCCAAAGTCTATAAAGAAGCAGCAGCAACTACGTTGCTCGACATCCAACGAAATAACCCGGACACGATTCCAGCTGTCGCTCAGCTGCACGGCGTATAGCTGACCCACACATGGATCCTGCACAGCACGTCGCAGCTCCACCCGTGCCATGCAAGCATTGAGATCTTGGGTGAGTTGATCAAAGTCATTGGTGTATGCGCATCCAATGAGCTGGCCCCAAACATGTGAAACAGATGTGCAGTGCGTGATATACATACTCCAGCCTTGGGATCCGCATGTCCACGGCATCTGCAAATCTGGCGTGGTTGATGCCCCCAGACGTTCCCGCGAAGCTGGAACGTCCGAGTTGATAGCATACACGATAATCATGCTGGGGCCAGACTCAACTCGGATTTTCGACGATTCACTGACTAGCGACCACCAGTTGCTAGGCAGCTGCTGTTGGAACGTTTTCTCATACCACTCGGGAAGTTTGTGTTCTACAATGCCGTTTGGAAACTTGAGCAAACCCTGATAGAAAACATCCATGAATTCCTCGTCCGTTAACGTGCAGACGGGTAAACGCTTCCGTGACTCCAAAACGCGCAGCCCTTCAACTGCAATTTCTGCGGTCATTCGTTTGGCAATCATCGTATCGGGATACTCTTTAGGATAGCAGGAATAAACCAAGTTGTCAATGCGGATGGTGCAATGCACGCTCATTCCGGTACGATAAATCTTATACGAGGGTGGGTCATAATTGCGATCCATACAGTATTGCTGCAAGCAGGCTACAGGATCGCGAATCGCATCAAAGTTGAACGGAACCCGGGACTTGTTCGGTTTGCTCCGCTGTAAACAAATGAGAAGATACATTATTTCTATTGGGCTAAAGAAAATAATCAAATCTGAATCAAACCAACATGATTTTATATATATACTTAAAAACCTTAAAAAATCAGGTCGAGTGAGACTAGTACTAGATCGATGTCCAGTTTATAAATTCGATATTTAGAAAGACTTGATGTTTAAGGTTTAATATACAGTGGAAACTCTCTTGGCCGGACACTCACGGTCGGCCAATTATTGTCCGCCCAAGGGGAGTGTCCGCTTAAGGAGATACTTAATTACTGCTGCAGCTTGTGGGAGTGAAATTGTTTCGCTAATAACTTTTCTTAGAATTTACCGACTTAGATATATAAATTATGTGCGCGAAGTTTGGTTAATGTGGACGGTATTGACAAGCGGGGGAAGGGGATGAAAATTCAAAAAAGTAAAATACACTCGTATAGACTAGGAACTAGGAGCGTCTGCATACGAAGATTGGTTTAGGTACGCTCAGCCGTTTCCGGAATCCAGGCGTTCATCCAGACAGACGGACGGACGGACATGTCTAGATCGATTTCTCTCGTCATGCTGATTCAGAATATATATACTTTATGGGGTCGGAGTTGCTTCCTTCTGCCTGTTACATACTTTGCACAAACCTAATATACCCTTTTTACCCTACGGGTACAGGGTATAAAAAGAATTACAAGATTTCATAGGCATAATAGACGAAAAGTGAAAACTTGTATCCACATGTGCTCGCCACTGTAATTCCATATTTTAATAGCGTCTAATACTTCGAAAAAAAATTTCATTAAATTATATAGAATTGGCATTTGATAAAGGTTTACTTACAGCTACCATTTGATGCGTTTTCGGGGTTTCCAAGGCATGCGACGGTAATCGCAGCTCGCTGGAGACCAGAGAAGAGGCACCTTTGGATTTGCTGCTTTCAGGAGTGGCGGGTGGCGTCATCAGTTCAGCTGACGTGGCCACTGGCAGCTTCATTTTCAGTCTATCGTTCACCGATTTCGATCCACTGGTTATCCCAGCCGGTGGGGTCCTACCTGTGCCAGCAGCTTGCAGCGACTTGTTCGCCACTGAATTATTCAAATGGGAATGACGCTTGTACGTGGGCGTACTTAATGGCGTCATTAGTAAATGATCGCTCCCTGTTCGCAGATGCGCACTGTGCCCCAATATAGGACGCAAAGGAGGCTTTTCCATCAGCGGCTTGCGCTGTGGAGTCGTTGCACGTGTATTTCCATTCATGGTCGGTACTGAACGATCACCTGGCGGCTGATTAGGCGCACCAAGCCGCGATGCAAGCGTAGGCTGAAAGTAATTATTTGAAATTCTGATCTTCAGCAGCCCTTCGCTGACGATCTTCTCTTCAACAGTTTGCGGGTGGACCACCTCCTCCACCGGTGGCTTCGACTTGGGCCCACTCGATTGCTGTTTGGAAGCACGATCAGACAGCTTTGAAGCCGTTAAAGGCGATCGACACCGATCGCTGGTAATGTTAATGCTGAGATTTTCGTCTTTTTCTTCGGATGCCAGCTTGAACTCTGACGCCCTTAGATTGGGCTCGTCTTCTAAATTCCTTGAGCTTTCTTGCAGTTGCCGCTGTTGTTCCGCGTGCTTGGCTTTGAGTGAAGCTGTTTCTTTTTCACGCTCGTGATTCTGATGTTCTAGAGCAGTTAGTTTTTTGCGATGCTGCTGGTACTGCACGTACTCTAGGTTTTGCTTTTCCCGCAGCAGTTCTTCAACCTCTTCCCTTAGTTTTCGCACTACTTGTGCCTGTTCCTGGAAATTGCGTCCTTGGCGCTCCTGCAGCTCCTTTAGCTGACGATCGAGCTTGGTCTGTAGTTCAGCCTTTTGTTCGTTTTGACTTTTGCGCAAATACTCTAACTGCTGCTGCAGTGCCCCGTACTTCTTCTCCTGCCTCTTTAGGAACTGCTCTTGTTCTTGTTTTTGTTGCGCCTCAAGCTGTTGTTGTTTCAGTGCCTGCTGTTTTTGAGCGAGTTGTTGCTGCTGTTGCTGTTGTTGCTGTTGTTGGGCGAGTTGTTGTTTCCGCTGTGCTTGTTGTTGTTGGAAAATCTGCTGCGCGTAACTGTAATTGATGCGTCCACTGAAGTCACTAGACCCTCCTCCTACTCCAAAGCGACGAATTGCAGGGGCACGTGAAGGGCCTTGTTTAGATCTCTGCTTCTTCTGATTGCGCACTGCATTCACAATGTGTTCCGACTTTCCGCTTATTTTTGCCGTTATATAGAGCTACAAAAAATACGAATTATTAGTCAACATTATAAACATTTGACTTTGAAATTGCATAGCTGTTGCTTTACTTTGTTTATTCAAGTTATCTTGAGCAAAAACGAAGAAGACGATATTACTCAAATTACCGAAAACATGCTGAGCAATTCGATTCTCAGGTCTTAAGACTCTTGCGACATTTAGTATATGTTTGTGGTCATAACTTCTCCGTATTCTTTTTAAAATAAGCAAGAACAATAATATGAGAATAACTGGACTACATTAATACGTTTAAGAAATTAAGCTAGATTGAATACAAATTCTAGAAATATTCTCATTATTGCATAGACTGGCATAAAAAATATATTAATACTTATATATCATTGTATGTAAGTACATAAAAAAGATATAACTGATTGTCTATTAATCTGGATAAAAAAGTTACAGCTGTTTCTTTGCCAAGGCGATGACATAACTAAGCACCAAAACATGCGAGTTAAATAAACTATTATTCTTTAGTATGAAATCGAGAAAAATATTTATAATAAAAGCTTGATGCTTTACATTAACGAAATATATAAATGCTCACGTTGAATAAGAACTTCACACCTTGGCATATATGAAACCCTGATTTTGGTTCTTAAAATTTTCTTATTAACTGCAAACAAATCGATATTTTAAATATCAGTGTACGAGTATATTGCTGCTAATAAGTGCAATATCCATATGATTGTCTGTTTGTTAAAAGCTTCGTAAAAAACACAATATTGGAGGCAGCAATGAACTACATAGCATTAACGGAAATGGAAAAACACAACACATAATCTGTGTCATGAAATAAATAGATGCTGCTGCATAAAAACTGTCAACAACAGGAGCGGTGGCAGCTACAATGCAATGCACTGACACAGTATGAACAGAAAGCGTCCAACATACATACATAAATTAGTACATATGTATATAAATGCACTTATGTATACACATATAAGAACGTACATATGTACATAAGTACACTTCGATGCATTTAAAAATAATTTAAAACAAAAAAGAAAACACATATGTACGTAGTATACAAAGTTCAAGTACAGAGTGCTGTGTTAACCAATTGGCCGCGACAGAATCAAAATTATTCACTTTCACCCAGGCATACTCTCAAACATACAATACATTCATAAGCATATATAGTAAGCCCATAACATGTATTAGTGCACACAGATGAAGCAGCAGCCCACACACACGGCAAACAGACACACCAGACCTACATACATACATACGCACACTTTTAAATTGCTGGCATTTTCGATTGTTTCTTTTTCGCTTTTTATTACATATTTTCTGCCATTGCAATTTCGCGAACGCAGCCCCAACTTTTCTAAAGCGATTAATCAGCTGCAAAGCAACAACAATACCACAATTTCGAAAGCGAAGCAAGCTTCGAATAGATAAACTTATTGTCGTTGCTTATACTTTGATGTGTGCAGAAAAAAATAGCAAGACGAGCGACAGCAACAATGTTGACACGTTGCCTGTGTGGCAGCCCGGCACGGTGACTAACAATTGACAACCGACAACATTGGATAGAGCGCGACGGCCACTGCACGCGTGGACGCAGCAAAACACACTGAGGAGCTCCAACATCAAAAGCTTAAAGCGAAAAGCTAAATGAGCGCGCACACTACAAGAGAGCATCCCAAAGCACTAGCAGATGCATGAGAGCGAGAGCGGGGCTATTAGGGTGGGCACACGCTTTTGCTTGGTGTTCAAATGAGAGCTACAATTTCTGCAAGTTGATAAATGAAAACAGTGATCAGAGAACTACTTTAATGGTTATAAGATATATACATACATATACATATGTATATATAAAAAGAAAGTTAGAGATTCGAGCAGAGGTCCAACTTTTAAATACCCTGTAAATAAAAATCAAAAATTAATATATTTAAATCAATTCATTTAAAAAATGCTAGCATAGCACAGCATGGACAGATATTACATTTGTGTTTATAACATCCTTCATAATTTACCTATCACGATGGCAAAATGTGAAAATGGCTATATTTACGGGAGTTAAGGCCACGCAATTTGCACAAACAAAACCAACATATTCCAAATGCCTTCTTAATTCGAAATTTTTGTTCAACATTTTCATAAACAAACAATATGGTTCATAAAAACACATATTTGGGATTTAACAGCCAAATAAAAAGGATAAACGGCAATGAAAACAAAACCTAGATTTAGCTTGAAATCTAAATTTGCATATCCAATTACCTCAAAACTTGGTTTGAATGCTTATCGAAAGAATTAAAAATAAAATTTTTTTTTTGGTTTATTAAAATTTATCTTGGAGATATCTTACCTCATTATTGTATTGATTGAATTTGAATTCCCCTGTAGCCGCCAGTAATGCCTGGGCATCGAAAAACCCAAACTGTCGAAAGGGTAATGGCTTCCCCTCTACGTCCTTGTAATCTCGTAGAACGGAATTTAGTGTTACTGGTGGCTTTTGAGATTGTACTAGGGAGCGCACTACAAGAGCGATGTTGGCAAATGCTTCTTCCTTTGATGAGCTCATGTCTAATCAGCTGTGATAGAATGCTGCAAACAATAATAATAATAACAGAATGGTTCACAGGTGGTAACAAGCAGCTCATGCACGGCAACACCAACACATGATTAAATGTTATGGAATGCTCAGCATACTCACTTTTGGCAACCGATTATAAAGTCAACATCAAAATTGAGCGCACAATGAACGTGACGGCGGTACAGATAAGCAAACGCAAAACGCACAGCTGAGCGTGCCACCTAAATTGAAAGAGCGCCTACAGCTGAGCTGGTTGGATGATGATGGTAGCGTTGTTAATGGGGTGTGCAATGGAGCGGTGCTACCGACGCCGTACGCTTCTTCTTTTAAATGTATCTACAAATATATGATTTGTTTAAATTAATTTGTATAAGTTTTGTGTGCAGCGTCGTTTGACATACTTTGGAAGCGTGCAATATCTACAAGCACACATCCATATGTATGTATGCATATACATATGTACATACATATTCATGTATGTATGTAAGCCACAATTTCACACGAAAGAATCTAAACTGACGCTTAATGAAGTACGGGCGACGGAAAAGTATAATTTAAAGTTTACTTAACTGTTGAACGCCCGACAAAATTACCAATATATCTACATATTTAAGCAATAACAATACTTTTTTTTACAATTCGAGTTCTACACAAGAAATTTATGCGCTTTACTTTCACGTGTGGCTCTCATCAAATAACGGTTGATACGCCATTGCTCACACATACGCATAAAGCATGTGCAGCATACATATATATGCATATGCCTATAGGTTTAAATAGTCAACAAGTCAGTTTTATTCTTCCTCGATGTTAACAAACAAAAACTGCAATTGTACCAATAATAAATAATTTCACTTACATCAGTACAAAATCGAAATGTACAACCTCTTTTTCTGTTTGAATCCTCTGCAGGAAAAATAATTATACTTAACCTGGCAATCTTCAAATCGCGATTTTAGAAAACAAATATTATCGCCAGACTGAATTAAATATTGTATTCGTCCTTTTTATATTTGATTTCAGAGTTACAAAAAAACTTTTGTAATATTTTCTGACCACAAACAAATTAAATAATATAAGCACTCTTGATGTGAAAACGACGTCTTATGAAATCTATCGATGTTATTTAAATATCGATTGGACTTGCTCAGGTTAAAACAAAAGAAGAAGAAAGCCGTCACCATTATAGCCCTTCTACTTACATGCTGTGACAGTCCTCCCTGGTCTGGTATGAACGAGTACTTGTGAATAAATTCGGTATAAAGCTAACCATTCCTCCGCTGATGTTCATTTTTCAGTGCAATTTAAAATTGTATTCAATTCAATAATCTTAACATAATTTCAGATGTTAACAACATCCTTTATTAGATAGGAACATTATTGCCTGAATGCAAAAAAAAAATTAATCGACGTACATATACTTGTATATGCCATTATTTTGTTCGGACTTTATAGTATACCCTTATAACATCGATTTCGATATTATTATACAAATTATTGGAATGAATAAATAAATCGTTTATAAATATTATTCTTAGAGATTTTTTGAAACCGATGGTGAATTATTGTGCAAATGTGACCTAAGTTTACCACTAGGTGGAGTGTCTATATTGCCATCTGTCGACAAATTTAAGCAATCGGAGTTAAAAGCTATAGGAGCTTTTTGTAAACCAATTCTTTCAAGAGTAGCCAGATCGTTGTAATTACTTAGATGGAATTCGGAACAGGAGCTTTTTAAACAATGAAATCACATATTTTTGAAGACTACGGGTATAGACCAACGTAATATAAACATCGAGACAAGTGCAAGCCAAAGTACACAACTGAACTTCCACTATAATATTGAAATTTCGAAATATGGCGATCATTGTAAGGAGAGATAACTTTTAAGCACGTATAAGATATGTCTTAAGAACAAGTTTTATTGCATTTTATTGTCAGCATATACATATTTTTCCCACATTTTCAATATGTATTTCGTTATTACTTCTTTAAATTTACTTATTTCAATTACACTAATTGAAAGAACATAACGTCAAGGGGTTATATGAGGCGTGATCCTATTGACATTTCTAGACGGTGTGTGCGCCCTTTGGGGACAAGAAAAGTGCTTAAGAAAACTATATATATATATGTATATATACAAGTATATATACATATGTATATATGATACGGGTTATGTTGCTGATTAATTAACATTTGCTCACAATATTTTCAAATGTTGCTATCGACATTCAGGAGACCCTTTATTGAAGTTATGAATTGAATCGGGTAAGGACGAAGAATCGAATTTTTTGATGAAGTAGGGTTCTTATTTATACCTCAGCGGAGGGCATTGTTCCAGAAATGTACTACCAAATCAATAGCAGATCGAATGGATTAAAAGATTGAGGAAGCTTCATCTGTATGTACATTTCATGTTGGCCCTTAAATTTGCAAGTAAGTTTTTTCAAATTTGCAAACATTTCTTGAAAAATAAAAAAACTAAAATCAGTCCCAGAACAGGACTTTGCTTGGTACAACCTATTGCTAATTTATATTTATACTTATATTCACGTTTATATACTTTTAAAATATTAAGAATTACATATAAAACATGAAAGGAATGCTTGAGTCGAGCGAGCTCAACTCTTAAATACTCTATACCCACTCCCACAAAAAAGAAATAAAATACTATTTTAACAGGTTATAAAAATAAGCTACAGTATTCTCTAAAAAAAGTCGATTTTTTAACAACTTATTATTTATTTTAAAAGGAACTAATTTGTTAATAAAAATTATTGCGGTGTTCAGTGTAAAAATCTCAATAATTATGGAGAGACATTTGAAAAATATTGGACTAGTTGATTTAGGAAGCAGCCATGTTGAATTACTTCTTTCAAAGTTTGCTTAAGTTAAGGTGAGCTGGAACAAAACGCATTTATGCGTAGATTGTGCAATAATAATAAATAATTGAAGGCTTCAGTCCTGAAGCCCTCGAGCCCCTGTACAATATTTAGTATTTTCGAGAAAGGCATTTAAAAGATATAAAGATCTATGCTATATTGGGTGCGAGAGTGGATTTTATAGTCTTGAGAATGAATTTGTTTATTATCTTATAGCATATCGAGCTGATTTACAACTCCTTGCTGTAAATAATTTAATAGTTGTTGTTGATTTCGATGACGCCTCTGAGGTCTACGACAGGTCCCGCCTGCTCGCTCCACATCTTTATTAAGTTCATTGCGAACTGGGAGACGTTCGGGCCTTAAATCGAATTCAGTTGCTGAAACCTTTTGTTTTTTCTTCTTCCTTCTTCGCTTTGCTGTTTTATTCCTACCTCGGAATCTTCTGCCAGTACGGGGCACTTTTTTATTGGTAAATGACTTATGTTCTGTGTCCGCATCGGTTTTGGCTTGTTGCTCAATTATCGGTTTTTGGACAGCTGCCACAATAATGGCAGCGGCTGGTGGTGCGGCAACCCCCATCTCCATCTGGGGCTGCTTTTCGCCAACTTTTGGCCCTACGACTATGCTAAGACTATTTACTTTCAATTTTCCTTCCTTGATTATGTTTGGCTCGAGATGTGCGGCTTTCGCAGGCGCAGCCAAAGACCGCCCATGCTGCAGATGCTTAGTTAGGCGCGCCTTTTCGGACATCTTCATTTTCCTTGGCCCTTTGCGCACGTAGGGTCGCAAATAGGTCACTAGCGATGATGCCTGTGCCTTTTTTGCAGAGGCTTTGTCCAGCTCTTCCAGCACTTTTAACTCCAATTTGTGCTCCTCGGCGCGTGCCGCAGCCACATCCACCTCAGACTCCTTAAGACCTATTGGTCGTATTCCAAAGTAAAAGTTTTTACCTTGCTTGGGTCTATCTAACCGCTCCTGCGGCTTGCCTCTGTCGCCGTTTAGAGAATGATGATGGTGTTTTTCTAGCGCTTTGCCATTGGCCTTACACTTGCTCTTGGTTTTCTTTGCAGACTTAGGGCAGGTTTCTGGAGCACGTGAGAGAACCTCCTGTTCGATATAGTTCAGATTTTTCAGTATAAGAATTGCATGTTGCTTCATCCCCTGTATTATAGTGAGTAAACGCTGCAGAGCTGCCCTATTCTGTTGTTTCCGTCGCTTACTTTTCTTCTTCGTTTTCTTCTTTTTCTTACAGAACCTATTGCCTTTGGGCTTTGCACAGATGGGTGCCGGATATTGCGAAGGAGTTGTACATGGAGGCTTTGTGCTTAATGTTGGTGTGGGGTCGGGCAAGCAAATAGATGTCGGAGGCTCTGTTGTTGGGCAGGTACTGGGCTCTGGAGTTGTGCTGATTGTTGTGCTGATCGTACTTGGTGTACAGGTCGTTGCAGTTGGCCTGGGACGATTACATTTTGATTTTGGAGTATATTGTTGATTCCAATTCAGATTTTTCGTTAAGGAATGTCTGCTATTGTCTTCAGACGTGCCCATTGGCTTGAAGATAGCATTCGCTCCTTCGGCACGTTCACGCTGAAGATTCATCAAACGCTCGAAAGCACGATCTGCAGCCGCACTCTGGAAATGCTCCATTTGGCGTTCGCGTTGTGCCATCTTTAGGGCCCTTTCCTTATCCCAGTCTCGCAGCGGCTGCTGCCGCGACTCTACTGTGTCGAGGGGTTCGTCGTTGACCTCAATAAGGGTCGGGATTGCGCCCTTGTTTGTCGTTCCATTCAGCCAGTAGCACAATTGATCCTGTTCTTTCTTTTCTTGCAGCATCTGGGCGGTCTTTATTTTCAATGCATTCTGGAATTTTAGCGTCTTAGTGAAATCCATGGCTGGTATCTCGATAAGCCTGTCCAGTTCCGCAAATGCCTCGGGCGTCGCATCCTCGTTGGTTATATAATTGTGTCTTTGTAGCTCGTTCTTATCAATCAACCCACCATTATTGAGCTGCTCGAATAGATAGGTGGGATCGTGAGTATCATGTGTACGAATCCGCGCACTTATAGCGCCGTGATCTTGTTCCGAACTATCATCCCGACGCTCATTATTTTGAAGCCTGGCCATGTGCATCCGCCGTTTTAGCTTATTACTCTTTCCGTTTTCTCTCGCTGTATATTTAGGAGTCTCCCCAGCATCAGGCACGCAGAGAGCGCCGGGTACTTGGGTTAGAATTAACATGAGTCTATGCAGCAGATAAACTGTTAACAAAATCCTGAATACGTTGTATTTCACCAGTGACATTGTTTTCAACAGCAAACATCTTGTCGACTACTTATCTGTACGAGTTTTTAGCAAGTGACTTTCGCTTTTTAAGTCACTTTACACTTTTGTAGTATGCATGAACTCTTACCATTGAAAGTAATGTTGGAAAAATATTCCGCCACTTTATCAATTTCTAATCCGGAATTAAGATATATACATATCTATTTCAATTCCGCTTCTTTTGAAAGCAATGCGAAACGACGAAAAGCTGTTAAGTGGCGCTTGAAATTGCTCTTGAAAATGAATAAGATAAAATAATAAGAATAAGAAGTTATACATATGTATACATATGTATGTATGTATGTATATGTTTGTATTTATCTTTTATTCAGACTGCTGGAATTTACAGACCTTTCATTTTAGAAAATTATTCTTTAAGTGTTTATAAAATGTCGTGCTTAAAGGAGGAAATCAAATAGTAGCAAATTCTGAATAATTAACGGAAATTAAGAGAATAAAATTCAGAACCAAAGCAATAAGAAACACTCGTAAACCTCTTCTTAAATATGACGAGAAAAGAAAAACAATAAATGAAACAAGAATGAAAACTTGAAAAAAAACATTGTAAAATATAGTATTAAAACTTAATAAATATTAAAGGTATTGAGTTATGTACATATGTGCATGTTTATGTATAGTTTCTATGCGTGTGTATGTTTTGCGTGTATGTACACAGATTTGAGAATACAGTTATGACATAACTTCCCTTACATTACGGCTATAATGAGGACACATTTCCACTAGCTGGTTGCAATTGCTAAATAATTATGAGTACAAAATAGAGAGTTATGAACAATAACAAT